GGCCAGAGAAAAAGAGGAAGATCCCCAACGAGATGGATTGGCCAAGTGGCGGCATCGATGGACTCAAGCTTGGCAACAGTAGTGAGGTTGGCCCATGATCGGGCAGTGTTTCATTCTGCTGTGCATGTCGCTATGGGTCAGTACCGATTTGATGGCACCTAACAACAACAATTATGACTTGAAATGATAGGTCACTTTTTAAAACTTGCTGAGTGGGAAGGGTTTTTTTATTTAGAACCTTGGGAAACTATTACTATATTAACAAAGTACTATTTCATGTTATACAAATAAAGCCGTGAACGTGAGGAATAAGATGATGGTTCCAGATAGTATCAGTGTAGTGAAAGTGAGCTGCAGGATAGGAAACTAGGAAGCACACTTTCTCCAGTTCACCAGAATCAAGGTTTAGAGTCCAGCAAGGCAGTGTCATGTGGTATTTGGAGCATTTTCATTAAATCATGTAAAATATATGCCCACTGTGAATCATGTATACTTTTCCTAAATATAGAAATTTATATGTTGTAGTCAAAGAATTGCAAAGTGAAAATAAACCTTAGAAATCATTTCATTTAAGTGACTCACTTAACAGAAACCTGTGGCACAGCGAATCCCAGTGATTCTACAGCTGGCACAGCTGGCAAGGTAAGGTAGGTCTGGTTTCCTGTCATGTGTGAGGGGATTCAAAAAGCTCATGGAAAAATGGAAACCTAAAGATAATGTTTCCATTCACTTTTGAAGTCCCTCACATCAGGAAACGTTTAGAAGTATTTCAGAAATAGAATATGATGACAGATTCTTTTCACAAAGTAACTTTTTTTTTTTAACGTTAAGAATTTCTAAAATTAAGTTCCCCCCCCCACAAAAAAAAAAAAAAAATCCTTGTATCTGATAGTAAGAGATTGATACTAGGTTTCAGTCATTCATATTTGTATCTCCGAGAGTTAATTAATTACCACTGTTAAATCTCAGCATATTTACTTCTAGGTTTTTTTGTTTTGTTTTTTGAAAAGATCTCTTTAAAAACTAAAAGGTACAGGCCTTGTAGGTAAAGACACTTGCAAAATGTAAGACCAACAAAGATCTCATACAGAACATGTAAAAGAACTCCTACAAATCAATGAAGAAAAGAAAAATAGCCAAAGAGAAAAATGGTCAGAAGAGTTGAACAGCCTTATCACAGAAAACCAAATCCAGTATATTCAGTAAACGTAAGAGTATCTTTTGTCTCAGCAATGATTGGAGAAATTCATATTAAAACCACACGTGAGGTACTATTTCACAATGCATTAGAGCTAACTGATTATTATAAATTTTAGTCTTACAATACCAAGCTTTAGCAAGGACTCAGGACTTAATGGGAATGGTCCTAAATCCCAACAAGAAGGGGAAGGAATAAATTAGTGTAAACACTTTGGAAAACTGTTAGTCACTATCTCTTAAGGTTGAAGAAACATGTACCTTACAAACTAATTCTTTTCTTAAATTTTAATCTATGAGATATATGCTTTTATATTCACCTGACTACATTGTCAACCATTTCATATGGCAGCATGTCATCAAGAACCAGTGGTACTGAAGGAAGAAATCCAAGCTACCCTGAAGACACTGGCAAAAAACAAGCGTCCAGAAATTGATGGAATACAAACTGAAACATTTCAACAAAGTGCTGCAGCACTGGAGGCACTCAGTCATCTCTGCCTAGAAATTTGGAAGACAGAGACCTGGCTAGCTGATTGTAAGAGATCCATATTTGTGCCCATTCCAAAGAGAGATAAACAAGTATAGAAATCATCAAACAATGTCATTAATATCACATGCAAGTAAAATTTTGCTGAAGATAATTTTAAAATTACTGCAACAATACATTGACAAAGAACTCCCAAAAATTTCAAATTGAATTCAGAAGATGATGTGGAACTAGGGATATCGTTGCTGACGTCAGATGGATCTTGGTTGAAAGCAGGGAATACCAGAAAGATGTTTAGTTGTGGTTTATTGACTATACAAGGCTTTTGAGTTTGTGGATCATAACAATCTATGAATAACATTGCGAAGAATGGGTATCAGTGCATTTAATTTTGCTCATAAGGAACCTGTCAGTACATAGACCAAGAAGCAATTGTTAGAACAGAACAAGGAGATCCTAATGGTTTAAATCAGGAAAGATGTGCACCAGGGTTGTATTCTTTAACCATACTTAATCAGTCTGTCTGATGAGTAAATAATCTGAGAAGTTGGAGTATATAAAGAGGACCATTGCATCAGGATTGGAGGAACACTCATTTAACTACCTGTGATATACAGATGATACAATTTTACTTGCTGAAAGCAAAGATGTCTTAAAATACTTGCTGATGAAGATCAAAGACCACAGGCTTCAATGTGGGCTACAGCTTCAATGTAAAGAAAACAAAAATCCTCACAATTTATTGACCAATAAAACCATGTTAAATATAGGGGGGAAATTGAACTTGTCAAAGACTTCATATTGCTTCGATCAACACTCAGGCAAGCAGCAGCCAAGAAGTCAAACAGCGTATTGCATTAGACATATCTGCTACACAAGACCTCTTTAAAGTGTTCAAAAGCAAAACTGTCAGTTTAAGGACTAAGGTGCATCTGACCCAAGCCATGGAATTTTCAGTAGCCTCATATGCATGTGAAAATTAAACAGTGAATAATGAAGGCCATAAAAAAAATTGATGCATTAGAGAGGAATACTGAAAATACCATGGTATGCCAGAAGAACCAATACATTTACGTTAAAAGAAGTACAGCCAGAATGCTCCTCAGAAGCCACGATAGCAATACTTCATACTTCAAACATGTTATCAGCAGGAACCAGTCCCTGTAGAAGGACATTATACTTGGTAAAGTGGAGGGTCAGTGATAAAGAGGAAGGCCACCAACAAGATGAGTTGGCACAGTGACAGCAACAATGACTCCAACATAACAATCGTGAGGATGACACAGGACCAAGCAGTGTTGTGCATGGGGTCACTATGACTTGGAACTGACTTGACAGTACGTAACAACAGCATATAAAATTGAAAAACCAACCATTGGTTTGAAATTTCTACACAATAATGACTTCCTTCAGTTCTTTGTTGTATTCTGGCTAGAGGATGGTTGTATATATATTATTTAATTGATCTGCTTAGCTGGTGAAAATGTAAGACATAGAGTACGTGGAATTAATAGATTATTGGTTTTTACATAGTCATATTGGGGAAGATTTAGAGACTTCTACTGGCCCAGAGTCCTGGTGTGATGCTGTGGGTTAATGTGCCAGACTGCAAATCCATTTGAACTGCAAGGTTGGTGGTTCAAGCTCACCAGCTGCTTCTCGGAAACCCTATACAGGGTCGCTATGAGTCGGAACTGACTCGACGGCACATAACAAGAGCAAGAACTGACCCAGAATCGACTCAACAGTACTCAACAACAACTGACCCAAGCCATGGGATTTCCAATAACCTCGTATGCATGCCAAAGCTGGACAGTGAATAAGGAAGACCGTAGAAGAATTGATGCTTGTGAGTTATGGTGTTGGAGGAGAATATTGAAAGTGCCATGTGCTGCCAAAAGGACCAACAGATCTGTGTTGGAAGAGGTGCAGCTAGAGTGCTCCGTGGGGGCCAGGATGGCCAAACTTCGTCTCTCATACTTCAGACATGTTGTCAGGAGGGACCAGTCACTGGAGAAGGATATCATGTTTGTTAAGGTGGAGGGTCAGAGAAAAATAGGAAGACACCCAGCGAGATGCATTGGCAAAGTGGCAGCATCAATGGGCTCAAGCATGGCAACAATTGTGAGGTTGGTCCAGAACTGGGCACTGTGTCATTCTGCTGTGCATAAGGTCACTATGAGTCAGTACCGACTTGATGGCACCTAACAACAACAACAACTGGCACTGTAGGATCAGCATTGGACTGAGAACCAGCAGGTCAGTAGTTCAAACCCACCAACGGCTCCTCGGAAACTATAGGGTCACTTATAGTTGGAACAGCAACAATTATCTATAAAAATTGGGCTGAGTTTCAGTTCACCTCAGTTATTTACAGTAAAGCACTGGACTGCAAGCCACATGATCTGCAGTTCAAGCCCACCAGCTGCTCCACTGGAGAAAGGCAAGGCTTTCTGCTCCTACAAAGATTTAAAATCCTTGGAAACCTTGTACAGGGTCGCTAAGAGTCAAAGCTAACTCACAGGCACTTTACATCAACAACTATATACACTATTCTAAAGTGGGCAGTATTTATAGTTGGACAATTTGTTTTCACAATCATTGTAATTTACCATATTGTCACTTGTTTTGCTGATTCATCATTTATTCTTAATCTTTTAATTGGTTGTGAATCTGTTAGAGAATTAGAAAAGTTCTTCACCCTGTCTCCCAAACACACACACACACACACATTTCACGTACAATTTCAGGGAGTTTGAACACTGAAATATAACCTTGTAGTGTTTAGTTGAGAATCTCTGCTGTGATTTTTTTTTTTTTTTTTTTTTACATTTTTATTGAAAATTGAGTGATAGCTTACATGGAAAAACATCGGTTTTACACTCATCCTATTGTATTTTGTTTCATTCCCTTTTTTTGGGTTTTTTTGAATGTACACAAAAACACTCAGGAATATGTAATTATTTAAACAACCAACCAAAGGGCACATTCTGCAAGCCTGCCCACTGACTGCCAGCACACAGCCTTTCTCTTTCCATGAGTCTAGAGTACTCAGCTGCTCCCTCTCTCCATGTCCTCATCTCTGCCTCCATCACTGGTGTCTCTGCTGCTCTAGATAGGGTCCCACATCTTCTTCCTTGATGGTCCTAGGGTCCTCTGTTCCTGAAATGTAAGATTAACTACTCCCCCTTTTTGATACAAAACTTCTACCTTTACAGTTATGACAATCACAGTTATGAGAGTCGCAATTAGTCATGATACCAGTTACTCATTATTGAATCATAAGAATCTTATTCCCATCTCTTTTCACCAGACCCATCTAGACAAGATGAAAACTATTCAGGGGGGACTCTATCTTCCTCTGAACACTCTTAAACTGAACTCCCTCTTGAAAACTTGTAAGCTAGTCACTTCATGCCTTTATCGTCCCCCACCCCAAGTTTAGGTAGCCAGTGTCTAAGTTGCCCATCCCTATCAACCCTGTGTACAGAGGGGATAGGATTGATCCTTGATGTGAAGACTCTTTCCCTCTTAGTTGATATCTTGAGCTACTACATCCATAAGATTAGGTCAAGTTCATCAAATTGTAGCATTTGACACTTGTTTCCTTTATCAAAGATTTTTTTTATCTTCCTCTAGTCGAGTTCTGATCATCAGGTCAAATGGGTTCTGCTGTGAATTTTTATGAAACATCCCTTGACCCTTCTTAGATTTTATATTTCATTATATAATTGTTTCAATCCCATTATAAAAATGTTTCAAGTATTAATAACTACATAATAATACTGCTTTTATTATGTCACTGCACACTCCTACCTTTTGGGTGATGTCACCCTCAGTTCAGATAATTAATTTATGACTTTTACCTCTTACCTTTCACAGGCTCTTATGTACTGTTCAGATTTTGTGCATTCTCAGCTCTAGCCCAGAATTCCTGTCAGTCCTGTTTCATAGTTTATTCTGTTTACACCTTTATGAATGGAACACTCTATTGCTGCATTCCTCTGTATCTTTCAATCATAAAGATCCTCTTCCAAGGAAGCTTTATCAAGTTCATCCCCTTCATCCTCTAGTCTATAACTGTGTTGTGTTATTCAAGGATCGTAGAGCCTAGGGAGTCTGCCTGTAAATAAATTCATAGGAAGACTATTAATACCACTAATGTAAGAGACTATCTAAACAATGTCCAGTAAATATTTAGAAACTAATTTTAAATGAAACAGTTGAAACAAAGTGGCAAAATCTATCCAACTGTCTGGATATTCAGGGAGTCCTGTTGTGGTGCTGTGGGGTAATGCACTGGACTGCAAGGACAGTTTGAAGTGCAAGGTCGATGGTTCAAGCTCACCAGCTGTTCCTCATAAACACTGTGTAGGGTTGCTATGGGTCAGAACTGACTCAGTGGCACTTAACATCAACAATTTGGATGTTCCGCGTTATTTTCTGATACTTCATTAGCAATTCAAGTTCAGAGATTTGGGTTGCTTGAATCAGACTTTGTCCTAAGCTACAATTGTCTGTTCTTCATTCCCAGCTTCCTTCCCAAGACCTAACCAATATCATTTTCCTGACTGTAAAGTGAAATGAAGGAGTAACTTGATCAAATAAAATTTTTAAAGGAACCCGTGCCCACCCTGCTGATGCTATGGTACAAGTATTGATCCTTTTGGCAACCCATCTGTCACTACATGGAAAAAAAATGAGAATGTTTGTTTCCATAATGACTTACCGTCTTGAACTGGTCACTGGGGGCTGGAATTGTATTGATGGTAATGGGTTTGGTTTTGGTTTTACCCTTAAAGTATGAATGTAACAATTTGTTGTAACTTTTTCTAGTTTTGTTTCATAAGATTCTGAACTTCTCAGGAGTAAGGATAATGATTTTTCTGTAACATGCACCCAAAGACCTCTCTGTTTCCCAGACAAATGCTTCTTTTGTGTACTTGAAAGTCTGTGACAATTAAAATGTGGAAACTCATGTTTCCCCATTTGCCACCACCTTTTTTAAAAGATGTAAAAATATCGAGTTAGTTGTAGAAGAAACATGACTCTAGAGACTAGCAGTAGAGGCAGCTGAAGTGGTAAAATGGGGAATTATTTTCACCTTATTTAGTAGATATGAAATAATGACCCTTGGTGCTAAGTTCGAGCAAAAAACAAAACAAATCTGTTTAGCTTATCAGTCATTAGACAGAAAATCCCACTGTGGAATTTTTAGAAGTCTTTACTATTAAAATGCCTTCAAAATGACTCAAGAGCTTGGAAATTTTATCATGAAATATATCAGAAAGAATAAAGTCAAAGCAGTTTTGACTTCTCTAAGCCAGTTGTGGCCAGTCGTGGCCAATTCCAGCTAGGCCTCAAATGAGTTACTCTACGTTTTGTACTTCACAGATGCAAAGCAGTTCTTTGATTGAACAATAAATCGATTTTCTAAAAGATATATAATCATACATGTATTATTTATTCCTGTTATGGCATTGTAAAATCAGCATTGGACTGTGTATGACTCACTAGGTCAGCAGTTCAAATCCACCGGCTGCTCCTTGGATACCCTATACCGGGTCATTATTTGATGTTACTTCACCACAACAACATTTATCAGTGATTTAATCTACAAACATCAACAGAAATATGAGCAGTTTGCCAAGGCTCAGTAAAAATGCTTCATTCATCCCCCTACTCATTCTCTGAAAATAAAGTTTAATAACAGAGTGTTCTGAAAAATACTGTGTAAAGTTCTGTCTATCAGTGATAATCTGGAGCTAAAATCGCAACTAAAACCTAACTCTGTCCTGGTGTAAGACTTGGAATTCATCAGATAATGTATTCAGATTTACAGAGTCAAATGTGAAGCAGCTGATATGATCTAACTTCAGAGCATCCTGCTTGTGTGAGTTCGTTTTTGTAACAGGCAAAAAAAGCAACGATATCCTTTGGTACATTAACACCACCACCACCTTCCAAAGACTGCTATTCTTTTGTTAGGAAGCATTTCTCTCCCCCATAATTAAAAAAATTAAAAGTAATTTGTCTTTTTAATAAAAGGAAACAAAGAGTCACTAATCCTCTTTGTATATATAATGTTGTTGTTGTTGTTGTTAAGCGTTGTCAAGTCGATTCCGACCCATAGCGACCCTGTATAGGGTTTCCAAGGAACAGCTGGTGAGCTTGAACCGCCAACCTTGCAGTTCAAACGGCTTTGCAGTCTGACACATTAACCCACAGCGCCACAATGAGGGACCTTCAAAAGGTACGTGGGAAAATGGAATTTTTCCATGCACTTTTTGAAGCCCCCTAGCACTTCAGTGAAACTACGTATTGCAGAGTACATACCCAACTATACAACCGTTTTTTTTCTTAAATCCTTGTTGTTGTGAAGTGTCATCGAGTCGGTTCTTACTCATAGCACCCCTGTGTAGGGTTTCCAAGGAGCGGCTGCTGGTAAGTTTGAACCGCCTACCTTACAATTCAAACAACCTTGCAGTCCTGTGCTTATCCTACAGCGACACATCAGGACTCCACACTAGAGCCCTTTCTTTAGGAAAGCATTATGTAGTTATAGTTGTAATAAATGGTGGTGTGGTACTATAGTGGTGGTGGTTATGTGCCGTGGAGTCCATTCCGACTCATAATGACCCTTCACAGGGTTTCCGAGGCTATAAATCTTTATGGGAGCAGAAAGCCTCATCTTTCTCCCCCTAAACGGCTGGTAGTTTTGAACTGCTGACCCTGGGGTTCGCAGCCTGATCCGTAACCACTGTGCTACCAGAGTTCCTGATGGTACTATAGGAGGGTACGAAGATTTTAAGGTAAGGCTCGAGACATTTTGCTTTTTGTTTTTTATGTCTTGAAACCTATTTTAAACTTTTTTGTTTAGAGCATATA